TTTAATCATCTATAAATGGTTTTAACTATTAACAGACAGATGTAAGTTTATTGTATTAAAATTTGGTTTATTTAATTCAAACCATCTCTGAGGAACAGAGTCAAATGTAACAAGTGTTGCAACTGTCCCCGGTCTCCCCTACACAATGGGTTATAGTACTGTACATAAACTGATACCAGAACTGGGATTTCTAACAACTTCTCAAACAGTTAGACATGTTCGACTGATTATCAGCAGAGGCAAACACCAGAAAACGATGAGTTAGTAAAAACAAAATCAAAAACTGGGGGGAAAAGTGGTTTATGAGAGAAACAAACAAACAAACAAACAAACAAACAAACAAACAAACAAACAAACAAGTGCACTGGAATGTGAGCAGGTCCAAGAGACATTGCCGATGTCCGAAATGCAGTCCTTGTTTTCTAAGAGGCGTTCAGTCTTTTCTGTCTTTCATCTTGTCTGGCTCTCCTGCCTCGTGGCTGGAGGGAGCTGACGTGGTGTGGGTTCCCCCCAACCAGTCCAAGTGTGAGAAGAAGGGAGCAAAGTTAGTCCCGGGGCGCTGGTGGTGAGCGTCGTGCTTCGGGGCACCCCCCCAAAGACCAAAGGGCACGAGGTTGTGTGTGGCCCAGGGGAAGTCGTAGCCACAGTGGTCCTCTGTAGACACATAAACGTTGAAGACCATGAAAGTCCACGTTGTGAGGCAGTGGCACCGCAGCAGGATCGGGTCCACCGTCGCCCAGAAGCCCACGCTGAACAGCTCCCAGCCAGAAAGATACTGGGTGACCAGGCTGAAGGGATGGTTGTACTGGTGGTGCACAGCATGGAACGTACGGTACAGCCAGGGAACTCGATGGTGCAGCAGGTGCCAGAGGTAGTACTGGAAATCAAAGATGACCATACAGCCCAGGATACCCAGGAAGAAGCTCCAGAGAGTCGGCGCCTCCGGGGGCAGAGGGGTCGGTGGTCTCCACAGCCACTGTGCCACAGCAGCAGGGAAGATGAAAAACACGTGGTTGTACACAGTGACGCCCAGCGTGTTCCAGATGTTGGGCCAGGTGACGGGTCGATCTCGGTGCAGCCGGTAACGGTTGATGCAGGGCCAGGTGGGAGCCAGCAGGTCCAGCAGGGTGTAAAGACCAACCAGAACAAAGTACGTGGTAACTGAGAGGACCACCGGGAAGAGAGGGCTCCTCAACAAGTCCTGGTGGTTCTGATGGAGGTAGTCCCAAACAGGCTGCAGAACCAAGTCATGTGACTGGTCCCCTGTCACGTTGTCCACGTCTGACATCCAGGACCAAGTCTTCATTCTGAGGAACCTGCTCATCCCTAATTTGATAATTTTCTTCCAAAGACGGTTTAACCAAAATAATTATTTTTTTTCTGAACAGAAAGAGAGGATAAAGAGAAAGGATCCAATCAACTTCCTCATAAACGTTCAGCAACAGCAAATAATCTGGCGACGTTGTGCCAAATTGGACCTCTCTTCCCCCTCTTATGTGTGTTCAAGCCCCACCTCCACCC